CATAAAAGTAATCTATATAGATTTTTTTTCAGTACATCGAATACATTTACATAAAATGGTTCTGTAATATCTCCTAAGCTCCACAACATACCAGCATAAACGCTCCCGATAAAATATTTGTTATTTAGGCTAAGCATCAACATTCACAAACCACTGTTATTTTTAACAGAAAAGCAAGCGTGGGCTGCTGTGTGCATGGTTTGGCATGGCAGAATGCGAGCAGCGCGCTTCGTTTATTATCACTAAAAGCTGACATCTCAGTTAATCGCGATCTCATAAAGCTCTGTTATATCACATTAAATATATGCACAATGAATCTTTCACAGTGTCTACACTTCGTGTGTTAAAATGAGAGGATTCGTGAGCACGCAATTTCAGCACTGCGGTGAGTAGATTCTAACTTAATCACCTCTGATTGGCCATTGCGTTCCAGAAATCAACAGCTGAGTCTGTGATTGGCTACATTGCGCAACCTTTTAAACACGTGATATAAATAGAAGCTATGCCTAGCTTGCGCATGTCAATCATTTTAATGTTAATATTAGTTGTTCTTTTTGCTTTTGTGCAACAGATAAATAACAATTTATATGTTTTAAACACTTTATGTTTAGATAATGTCTATTTTGCGGGAGTCCCACGAATCATTTTATTCTCCCGCATCCCGCACACACACGAGTCTCTTCCCGCCTGCACCCGCACCCGCACTCGCCCCCGCACTCGCCCATCAAGAGTTGTCCCACGCCGCACCCTGTTGCGTTGGGTCCCACGGGTCCCGCGGTCCTCCCGCGGGAGTGCAGGTCTCTAATTCAAAGCTCTGCATGTTTGCAGGGTAAAAACATGGGTCGAATTTCGCATTGGTCTGAACTCTGAACAAAACAACAGTTTTATTGAAAATGCTCATTCATTCTCTGCCAGCAGGTGGAGCGTTTGGTAGAAATATAACTGTTTTCCTGGTAATGGCAGAACACAAAGCAGCGCAGCACCGGACTCTGAACATGCAGAGCTCTTGTTTATTTAATTAAATCATAGCCTTTTGAGGTTTAATCGTCACATTCAGCCATATCGCAGTTCTGGTCTTTCTGTCCCCAAATTGAAGACCTCTTGAAACCACAATTAAGACTTTCTTGTACAATTTAAGACTTTTTAAGGCCTTAAATTTGATACAACTAAATTTAAGACTTAAGACTTTTTAAGACCCCGTGGAAACCCTGTTTTAGAGCTCAAAACTCACTGGATGTGGGTGACCATCTGTTTTCTTTTCTCTCCATAGTGGCGTAGGCTCTCCTCACAGCAGACCAGCTCAATTGGCACCTGTAGTTTTTTTACACGTCTAAGCCAGGCCAGACTCTGAACATCTCCATCTAGAGTCTGGGGCTCCAGATATTCAATACAGACCACAGCAGCATACATATCTAACACCTGAGAAACAGAAAAGTGGTCAGAGGGAAGTAAACAATGACTGTAATAAATATTTTCATGCAAACTTCGGCAGCAGAAGTAAGTTGAAAGCAATTACCAATTCTATGCCCTCTCTGGCATATCTGTTATCAATTAGCATCTGAGCAATCTGAGGCTCTATACTGATCATCCTGTGGAGGTTCTGTATTCGGTTCTTGAAATGGTGGTAGGCAGCATGAACCCATGCCAGAGAAATGACTTCACTCTCATGTGCTTCCTGACTGCCTCTAAGCTCATGTACACCAGAAGTAAGGGCTCCCCGTAAGAGCTACAGTAAAAGGTAAAAACCACACATGAACAAGTGTGCTTGGATGTGCAGATGATGGGTAGAAATCTAGCTTTGAAAGTGTCTGACTCTCACCTTGAGATCCACCTCTGATGTTACATTCATGGTTATGGAGATGAAATCCTGGAGATACCTGTGGAAAAACTCCATCTGCATCTCTTGGGTTGCTTCAGAGATGTACCTGCCCAAGGGCGTCTTCCAAAAGATCTCTTCAAATTGCTTTATAGTGTGTCCTGTTCAAAGAAATACAAATACAGCATTTATTGTTTACATTTTCCTCTGTAAACAACAACAACAACAAAAAGTTAAAGGAAAATGAAAAAAGGAACTCTTCAAGAGAACTAACCTGATTTAAGACTGATTGCTCATTAAAAAAATAGCAAGGGAAGAAGTTGTTTAAAATACCTTCTCGCTGCAAAGCATGCACCCAGAGTTCCTCAAGATAATCTTTAATCCTCCAGCTGAAAGGCAAGGTGCAACCCATGTTCCTGTCGATTGCAATGTAGTTCTGAACCAAGATTGTCTTCGTCTCTGAGCTATAAAACATAGCGTTTTCAGTTACAACAACGACATTCTGCTAATGTAGACGTGAATGCTTAGAAAACGCATTGTTAGTGTATGATTTTGGATTTTACATAACATGCTTTTGCTTTCCATTCTTGGGGAGAATTTGAGTTATCATAACGTTCATTGCCATTAATGTTATCATTTGGGTAGCTAAATATAAACCAGTTGATTAACTTGCTCACAAGGATTCTCTTTGAACTGTTGCTCATAAATGTAAGTAGTTGACCTTAAAGAAAAAAACTCACTGAGCAGCAATGCTGAGAATACAATGCATATTTGCTTTGCATTATGAATTCCTGTCGGACACATAGTACATTCAAGCATGTAAAACTAGGAGCATTAGCGTACTTGCATAGAGTATGTTTTGGGCCCAATGGCTTACAAAATGCATCTTGAAATCATATAATTACATACTTGTTTTCCACTCTTGTGTAAGGAACATTTAGTAACTTGAAATCTCCAAAAACGTCCAACCACAGTTTCTTCAAAGATTCTTCAGAGTTTCTATCCAGCAAGAGGTCTAGATTGCAGTCACGGTCAATAATTGAAACAAGTTGCGCCAAGAAGGGAGTTACTACTGCTTGAACTCGCCTCCACAGGGCATGTCTAAAAAACAGAAACAAATAATTATTAAAAGTAGATTTGAAGAGAGAGTAGAAGGTATAGGGTTTTACAAAGAGCCAATAAGGCCTAGTCAAGCCAAAGAGGCTACATGTGAACATCTGAAAGGTTACCATCCAAAATAATGTGCAATTTACACTCTTTCTCTTACACTTTATTTCTCTTACAGACTTTAATAAAGAATTTGCTGATTTTCTATCTGAATTAGTGCTAGCTGCAGATAAAGTCTTAATTGTTGGTGATTTTAATATCCATGTTGATAATGATAAAAATGCATTGTGATCAGCATTTCTAGACATTCTGAGCTCTTTTGGGGTTAGACAACACGTGTCAGGTCCTACTCATTGTCGAAATCATACTCTAGATTTAATACTGGTACATGGAATTGATGTTAACGGTGTTGAAATTATGCAGCAAAGCGATGACATCTCAGATCATTATCTAGTCTTGTGTAAACTCCATATAGCTAAAACTAAATTCAACTCCTTGTTGCAAGTATGGTAGAACCATCACGTCTACCACAAAAGACTGCTTTGTAAGTAATCTTCCTAGTTTATCTCAATTCCTCAGCATATCCAATAGCTCAGAAAAACTTGATGATGTAACAGAAACTATGGACTCTCTCTTTTCTAGCATTTTAGATACGGTCGTTCCTTTACGCTTAAAGAAGATTAAGGAAAACAGTTTGACACTGTGGTATAATGAACACACTCGCACCCTAAAGAGAGCAGCCCGGAAAATGGAGTGCAGCTGGAGGAAAACAAAACTAGAGGTATTTCGTGTTGCATGGCGGGAAAGTACCCTATCCTACAGAAAAGCATTAAAAATTGCTAGATCTGATTACTTTTCGTCTCTTTTAGAAGAAAACAAACATAACCCCAGCAGGGCTCGACATTAAGCTTTGACATGTGCTTGTCCTTCGGACAAGTAAATCAGTCATTCACTTGACCAAGTAAAAAAGTTACTTGTCCGGGGGAAAAAAAGGTGGTTCTTTTTTCTTTTGGCTTAAATGTAATTGCCTTAAAGGGGTCATATGATGCTGCTAAAAAGAACATTATTTGGTGTATTTGGTGTAATGAAATGTGTGTATGCGGTTTAAAGTTAAAAAAACATTATTTTCCACATACTGTACATTATTGTTTCTCCTCTACGCCCCGCCTTTTTGAAACGCGTCGATTTTTACAAAGCTCATCGGTCTGAAAAGCGAGGTGTGCTGTGATTGGCCAGCTATCCAGTGCGTTCTGATTGGCCAAATACAACTTAACCACTGATTTGTAGTCGTGTCCTCTTTTGGAAGACCAAACAAAGTAGTTTCACTTTCACAACGAAAAACACGGCGGCCTAGCATGAGCGGAAGCCGCGGCTTAGCGTGAGCTGATGCCGAGCTAGAGTGAGCAGAGGCGGCGGGGTTGAGAACGGCGCAACCGGCGGATTCGACGAAGGAGCGGCAAGCACATGTTACGACCCCGGGCTGGACTCCGCTTCGTCCACGGTGAAAGCCGATCCGGCGATCCACAGCA